GTGTACGACGATCCTGAAGATTTGTATAATGCTTTGGTAGATGAAGACGTGGATGGCATCTTCATGGAAAGACTTCAAGCTTATTACTATTACAGCGGAAAAACTGAGGACGAAAACTTGCGTATATTTGACGTGATTCATGCGGAAATAACTTACAAGATGGCGCTTAAAAGAAGTACAACGTGTAAATTTTTAGAAAAAAACTTTTGCTTTACGCGGCGAATCGAACATCCTTTGATAGACACGCTTGTCAAACAGTACACTGTGCCTTTGAAGGTAATTTATTTTGTATTTTTGAGCGTTTTTGTTTTGTCTCAGCTTGTAAAAACAGTGTCAAAAGTTAAGGTAGAGGTAGTNCTTAGTGTACGACGATCCTGAAGATTTGTATAATGCTTTGGTAGATGAAGACGTGGATGGCATCTTCATGGAAAGACTTCAAGCTTATTACTATTACAGCGGAAAAACTGAGGACGAAAACTTGCGTATATTTGACGTGATTCATGCGGAAATTACATACAAGATGGCGCTTAAAAGAAGTACAACGTGTAAATTTTTAGAGAAAAACTTTTGCTTTAGGCGGCGAATAGAACATCCTTTGATAGACACGCTTGTCAAACAGTACACTGTGCCTTTGAAGGTAATTTATTTTGTATTTTTGAGCGTTTTTGTTTTGTCTCAGCTTGTAAAAACAGTGTCAAAAGTTAAGGTAGAGGTAGTCAGATATAATTATACTGGTTTAAAACAAAATAGTCTCCCCAAATTTGATAAACTTGTTCAATTACTAAACATCTAGAACACTGATCCACACCTGGTCGATAGCTCGCACCTACTGTACAGAAAGCTGTCAGATGAATTTGCATTACATCATCTTTCCTCTATCTCTATTTCCATCTCTTGCGGAGACGGTGCATCGCTACCCTGCGAGCAGAGGCCCCTCGACTTACTGCCTCTGCTCCCAGGGGGGGAGGGTAGTGCCTCACCTCTTGCGGCTAAGTTCCATTTCATCCTTCTCTGAATGAGCGGCTTACCCTAACTTTCGTCAAAATTTTACCTGGCTCCCAAAGAAATGTCGTATCTACTCTGCTACTCCGTTAAATACTTTCTAAAATATTAGTTTGTTTATTTTTCTTAATCATTATAGGTTTTTAGGCCATCCGTGGATACAGAAGGTCTGATATCGGGAAGTTCCTCCGACACTGGAATTTTACTTCTCACCATCTTGGGCATCCTGGTTGGTCTCGTTTTGCTTGGCGTTTTGGTCGATATTTTTGTTCTAAAATCGGAAAAGCGACTCTGCTCTTTTCGTAAGTTCGCCAATTAAATAAATAACTAACTAAATAAGAATTTTCGGCAGAGCATATTCCCATAGTGGCTCTTTGTCTACCATTTTTTTACCTGGTCGAACTGGAATTTGGAAGTGTTGGTTTTTGAGGAGAGGGGAAAACCGGAGTACCCGGAGAAAACACCTCTGGGAGCTGGGGAGAGAATTGCCTGCGTGCAGACGTCTCCTATTTCCCTTGTGGCACGTCTGCACGCAGGCAAGGGAGAGAACCAACAACAAACATAAAGCTCAACCCAACTAAGTAGTAAGTAAATAGCTTGATTAAGTCAGTCGTTCTAGTGTTTACCCTCCTCGGTGTCCACGCCGGAATTTGAACCCAAGCCACATTGGTGGGAGGCGAGTGCTCTCACCCACTGCAACACCGAAGTAGTTTTCTTCTGTGCGTATTCTGGAGCTTAGTTTTCTTTTTCATTTAATTCGACGAAAAAGCTAAAATAAAAACCGAAGACAGTTTTTTTTACAAAACTTGCTAAACAAAAAAGTTGTCTTGCTACAACAAGACTGAGATTTTACACATGTAGTTTTATATAGGTCCTGTTTAATGATGGGCGGGCAGGCACATTTTAAACAAATACTCTCTATGTAAGTTGTTTATAATGGCAGGGCTGAAAGAAACTTCAGTAAGACGGAGTTAATTCAGGAAGAAGAAGTTAAGAAGAAAATATTTATTATGATAATAGAGAAGACAATAATAAAGAAGGCATTTGTTTAAGGCTGTACAAAAAACTCGTTAAGATGCAAATCTCTCCATGGGTCAACTACACTTCACTCCCCAGGTTACCAAGAAAATGTAACTGGAAGGGTATCTATACTAGATTACTAGATAAAATGGCTTGTTGTTTGTGTACAACCTATTTCTACAGCCGAAAAACTAATTGAGCTTGTTTCCCTCCTCTAGAAAAGAAAAACAGTGTGTCTGCTGTAGGTTATCCTCATCCAACCATCACGTTGAGAGGTGAACTAGAATCTCTGAGTCAGGACCTGGAAAATCTTTCTTCCCAAGTATTAGCTATAAAGGAACGCCTAGCAGGAACAGACAGCCAACAGCCCAAATTCCAAACGAACAGTTTTAAACTAACTGAGGTTGATTCGAGTGCATCTTAGATCCTGACGTAAACTTTAAAGATCCCGGCCGGAATTATGGTCATCGAAACATTTATTATCAAAAAACTGTTATAATTGCCTCTGAAAATTGAAAGCCCTCGAAAAAGTGAAGGATACTCTACAGTTATGATTGACGCACGAAACTCATTTCCTAAAGTCTGTTGTAGTTTGTGCACAATTCAAGGACTGAGACACGTTAATCTTAAGCTTTACAGTTCGTGCCCTCAAATCCAAACATCCGTCAAGTCTATGTCTTTATTGAATTCGTCACAGTGACTCAACACAGTGACAGGGGACGAAACAGGCCACTTACGTCCCAATTGTTGTTAACCCCTCCATTGCCCATCCAGCACATAAAAGGCCTGTACCACACTACCTGGGTCTACGCCCCCTATAATCTCTAGGAATAGCAGTGTAGGTTGTTTTACGTTCCATAAGAATCAGAACAGTAAACAGGTGTGAGACCTATGAGGCCTACGGTTTTTCGCCGTTATCCGAGAAGTCTAGAATTTTTAATACCCATTTGTAGATGTCACAACAAAGGCCGCACATTCTCCTCAGTTGTTTCAAGATCGTGAGTGTTGGTCAGGCTGGGGTTTGAACTCGCGACCTCCCACTCGGCAGACAGGTGCTTATCCAATTGAGCTAACCGGCGGCAATATGATTAATGAATCAATAAACTCGGAATAAAGTTGTCAAAAGATTGGTGACAAATAGATTTGGTTTGAACGTCGAGCTTAATACACGAGTAGAAACAAAACCACTTCGACGATCTCAGAGACGAAGAGAAGAGTCTTGTGACGTAAATGTCTGTCTTTCATAAAAGAGTGTCATTTTTTGAAGTGGACTATAGGCGAGCAAGTCCCTACAAGTGAACGTAAGGCCCCTGAACAGTTTGTTCATTTCTGACAGGTGTTGTGCATGAAAGATTTTCTTTTAGTAATTTGGATGATAATACTTGTTTCACTACGCACATTTTTTGACAACATGCATGCAAACACAATGCCCGGTGGGGGGTGGGGGTGGGATACTCAACAAATGTTTATACGGGGAGGCTCCGTCCCAGGGTCCAAACCCTTACCCTTTAATATACCATTTTTCACGGAAAAGGTACCCCTTTCATATGCCTTCTATTGACAAACAGTACTCCTTTCACGTACCTCGTTTATAACTTTGCATCCCTTTCAACTGCTGTAAATGTTCCGTCTTCAATCACAAAAATAGAACGTTTTCTCGATTCTATAAAGCCATAAAATTCAACCGTTAGCCCTTTTGGGCCCTTTCATAGACCCAAATAACAGATTTCCCGCTACCCTTTTATGTACTTAAACTAATGAAATCCCTACCCTTTCATAAACCTGAAGCCTGAAAGTGATACCTTTTTGGGCGGAGCCTCTCCTTATAGGCCATCATAGGGAGTATCCCCAGCGGACACAACTAGCCTCAATACATGGCATTATTTTGGAATAGTGACTCTTTGAATTTCCATGGTAACTAGGAAAATGTGATTAGATAAGTACAATGAATATAAAAGAAAAAAAAAACTGTCATTAAACCACCTTTTATGCTGAATAAGGTCTATGGTTCATCCCCAACAAAAGTAAGAGATTTGGCTCGTTTTGGCCTCATAATATTTATTATCTGCTATACCTTTATTCATAAATTCTAGAAATTACAATGACTACGGCTTTTGAAGAGTAAACAAGATATCCTTGAATAATCAGTGTACGCTGTTAAAACTCCCCACGATTATTCGCCATACTCTCTCAGCTGCCAACTCAGACCACCCAGACCAGTGTAGTTTTCCCGCTTGTTCTTAATGTACAGTGATTATTTATTAAACAAAAGAAGTGACCATGACTTTTCTACTTATAAAAAGCGTGGGTGCACTCAGTAGACAGAAGGCATTTAAGGACGATTTGGATATTTAAGTTACTGGCAATTTGCAAGACCAAATAAATGTCAATTAAATCGCGTAGCTTTGGTCCATCGGAAAAAAAAAAGAAGTAACACAATACCNAACCCCAAAAATTTTTTTGAAGATGTTTTTTACCTTATGCGAAAAAAAAAAACCACGGCAAAAACCTCAACAAAAAAAGGGTTTTCCCCCCCCCCCCCCCCCCCCTCCCTTAAAGGCCTTTTCACTATACCGTGAACTTTATGGTGTACTGTACTCATTCTGACAAAAATAAGTGGCTAACCGTGGAATGTTATTCTGGTTAATGTTGTTTTCGCATTCTTTTTTTTGGCTCGCCCACCTTTAGAACAACCGCAACAACTTTATTTCACATGAAAAAGTTTACGAGTAATAAATAGAAGTAAACTGAAAAGGAAAAAGGAAATATTTCACGCAACCCGCAGTTAGCTTAAGCTAATCGAGGCGGGAGGTAGACAGGAAAGAAAAAAGATAAGAAAAACTAGCCATAATTATAATAGATTTACTCCTGATTTACAAAGAGAACAAAATATTATACCCTGCACGACCTAACTATTAGCTAAGAATTGTTAAGAAGCAAGCCTTACTGATGTGCGTAGTGAATTGTTCACCATAGTTTTAGTGTTGAACTTTACAAGAACTTGCGGTAACCACCAGTTCTTGCTCAGTGTCCCTTTCTCGCGTTGTCTGTTTGACGTAGCAGAGTATCGTTCCCTTTACTGCTTTTCTGTACTTAGGATGCCTCCACGCATAAATATAAGCATCCAGGGCGACCTTGACGAACAAGATCATGTCACTTACACGGAGTGCTATACTGATATTGCGGATCTCTGTAAACGAGATAATCTTGGTGTAAAAGTAGATGTAGAATGTTACAATGTGGGGTATGGAGCACAAGAGCAACAAAGCGGAGAGTAGAAGGGCCACGACAGTGAGCTGCTTCTGGTGTTTTGTCTCGCTCTTGCTACCCTGAGCAGTGGGATGGACATGTTGAGCCATACTTGGGCGTCGCAAAGCTTTGGACTGTTGCACAAATTTACGGAACGACTTGAAAAGAAGTATGTGCGCGATAGTGAGGAGAAATCCTATAACCGTGGGATGAAGGTGTAGATTTATCCTAAGGTAGAGATCTGTTGGGATTTTCGTGAATTGCAAGGAACTAAAGACGGCAAAGTAGATGAAGAATCCAAAGACGAAGACGAGGACCCGTTTCTTGGTGAATAACTGCTTGTACTTGTGAGGATAGGTGATTGCGATGTATTGTGTTGTTGTCAGGGCTAAAACTAAAAGGAACGACGAGCTTATCAAGACCAGGGACAGAAAAGACGCTATGTGGAAAAGGTACGAGAAATATTTACCAGGATCCAATGTCTGTTTGGAATAACAGGCAAAGTAGAAGATGGCAAAACATGGTTCGACGATTGTACCAGCTAGTAGATCTACTATGGCCAAGCTTACGGTGAAGAACGTTACTGGAGTGCGAAAGCACTCAAATGGATCTTTGTAGATTGCAACTAGAAGAAGACCATTGCTTACTACTGTAACAGGAGACAGAATGGAAAACAGATAGGCTGAGGCGTATAGAGTTATGAAGTACGGGCCAATGTCTTCTTGTGATAAAGACGAGTTTACGACTAGGCCCACCGCTTGTCTAACTGATTCATTCAACAAATTAATATTAGACATTACTGATTTAAAGACGGAGTCCCAGAAAATTGCCAGACGTTTCTCAAATTGATGTACGTGTTTAATGTCACACTCTTTGATAGCTACTGCGGCGGAGTTGTTCAGTTTATGACTTCCAGAATCATTGGATTACTGGTTTGATGCGGGGTGACTCCTGCAAGGCAAAATCAAAGCAAGACGACGAAATTAGTTGTACAATTAAATGCTCGTGTATTTATTTCTGATACCGATTTCTGTGCTCCGAAAGGGCTCTGAGTTCACTCGGTTTAACATATATGTCTCTTAATGCGGTCATATTTGATCGGGTAGATTTGATAATTCTTCTTTTTTTAATTCAGAGTAAACTGAGTAAAAAAGCCAGACATACCCGCTCGATTTAAATGATGTTAATACGTACCTATCCTTTGCATTATAAAATAATGATTATAACTAAATATTATTTTACAAAAATTGTCGAGACGTACCAAACGTTTTAGAGAGATACAGTGTATTCTGAGGAACTTCTCGGTTCTCTCAGTGTGCTATACTTCAACACCCTTCTTTTCACATCAGAGAACGAGGTAATGTACTTTACGATACGTGACAAAAGAAATAAAAAAAATGGTAATGGTGTAGCCTAAATGACGAGTCGAGATTTCTACGCACGTGATAATTCTCTTGATGAAATTGAACCGCTTATGGCCATGCCTACAGCAATTTGCAAGTACTAAATAAATTCTTTCAGCTTACTGCAGGCCCTCGCTATCACTCAATCAACAACCATCAACTCGATCGTCGACACATTTGAGCAAGATAAACTCTAGACTTATTGCAAATTGGTAGCTGTACAATATTACACACGAGGTACCATGGGTACGTAATAAACAGACGCCTTGTCTTTTCCTGAGTACGTGACATTGATAAGGCGAAACGATGATTTCTTCGCCGTACCCCTTGAAAAACCCATGCACTTTTAGGACTGAAACCACGTTTCTGGTCAAACCAAATTACTTCGAAATATACCAGTCCCTCAAAAATGAAAGCAAGATTTGAACGTAAAATCTGTTTAAAGAGAAACGAGAACAAAAAAAAAATAGATACAGATTCGTGGTTTTTAAGAGAAAAATTTCAAACGTTGATGGATCGGACTTAATTTATATACGAATAGATACGCCTTGGGGTGGCATATGAGACTCAATGATATTTTCTTATCTGCTTCGATTGAAATAAATCTGACTCACCCCTGGCTTGGTCATGTTCTAAGTTCCGTCTTAAGGTATAGCTTTATTAATAATGGAAATCGATTGTCACTGCTTTTTCTTTGTCACGGAATTCAATCTGAATTCGAATCTGAGTACATGGACTCCATTTCAAAGGGTTTGGCACTAAAATTTAAAAACGTTGGCCTTATCATCTGACAATTAACACCAAACCGAGTTTGAAATCAAGACTTTCAACCCAATTTTTATCATTCTTTTGCAGTTAGTTAAGCGCTTTGGAACTAACGTTATTGGACGTAATCTGAAATCTCAGCAAATTACGTCGGCAAGCCCACACCCTTGAAACTCTACGGAGACAATCTGACTTTCATTTCCAAAATGAAATCGCTTGCAGTTAGTTAAGCGCTTTGGAACTAACGTTATTGGACGTAATCTGAAATCTCAGCAAATTACGTCGGCAAGCCCACACCCTTGAAACTCTACGGAGACAATCTGACTTTCATTTCCAAAATGAAATCGCACACTTTAGGAGGCTCGATGTTCATAATTAACCGTTCTCAGCGAAAGAATCGTGTATTGAAAACGTTAAATTTAGATTAGTATCGATACAGAGATTTAATCTAAGGTCAGTGAAAGGAACGTGCCTGAGATCGATGATTTGCGAGCCCGGTAGTCAATAATCTCCAAAATTTAATAAAAACAACTACACGTTGTAGTATTGAATATAGCAAAAAGGTTGAAAAAGGTAGAAGCAGTAAAGCGAAAGCAATTAGTTACAACTGCAAATGGTTTGTCAATTTACTTTTTTACTAGTCTTCACCCATTCTTAGTTTCAATTTGTTCGTCCATTCATTCGTGTGTGCATGAATGAAGTCATGCATATTTCATTCATTCATTCATTCATTCATTCATTCATTCATTCATTCATTCATTCACTCACTCAATACTTACTCGCTCGTTCGCTTGCTCACTGACTCACACACACACACTCATTCGTTCATTCATTCATATAATCGATCACTCAGTTAGTCTCAAGTCAGTTAGTCAATCAGTCACCAGAGTTTTTCATCACACACTTTGAAGACGTAAGAATCTTTTTAAAATCGAGATCAGTTTTGTTAACTCTTATTGCAATTCGCGATATTTTCTTTCCGGCTACGACGACGTGTTTGTATAGTAAGAGTTCTTAATTAAATTCTTAATTGTTCAATAACTGGAGGTGTGATACGTTCAAAGAAGCGAGTATATTCCAATTTCAAACTTGTTTGCTATATTAAAATCGTAGTTGTAGAAACCAAAGCGTTTACCAGATGACGGAAAACCATTAGTAGGAAGAGATGTAAAGAATTGTATTGCCGGATTAAAATGGATAAAGCTTACTCTGCTTCCTTAGGGATCAGTTTAAAACTGATGAAAAATATATTTGCATCACATATTCTAATCAACAAAGTTTGACTGCAATAAAAACACCTTTATAAACACCAGCAAAAATTACCATGCAAGTCAGTTTTTCTTTTGAAACAGCGAGCAAGCTTTTTGTTGATAGTCATTCTACACTTTCAGTGTTGTTTCGCCCGAACTGAGAACTGAGGTGAAATCTTCATGTAGGTATTCATTTTTTAATCAACAACGAAAACCAAGCATCTCTTCTAACAGGTCATGAGCGTTTTTCCAATCAAAACGTTTTCGTTTCGCAACGAAAAGACTCACGCCCTTTTCAAACGCGGTGTGTTGCTAGCCTGACCGCAGTTGTACTAATCGACTTGACTGTAGCATGGTCCTAGTACGACTTGATTCAGACGTTGAACTTAATGCAGCTGAATACAAGAGCTGTTACCAAAAACAAAGCATAAAAAGAAAAGAAAATCAAAATCTGTTCTAACGTATTTGTAATTTATGAATTAAGTTTTAGGCAAGGCCGAGAGAAACATGCACGGAGTTGAGGTGCAAAACTAGGAGTAGCATTAAAAATAACATAAAAGTTGGACTCAATGTATTTCAAATTTCGGGTGAAATCCTTCTAGGACGATGGCTTGGTTAAATTTTTCATGAAAACACTGGCAAATTGTTTTAGAAGCCGAAGTTTTTCTTGCTGGCAATATGCTGTTGCCGTCTTTAATAATGATTCACCGACATACTACTTACACTCAGTTTCCACAACTTTCAAAAAACAACTGTTTATCAGTCTATATTCACATCATAATAGCATTTTGTTGTCTTTATATTGCTCATTGTTATTCAATTCGATCCTTCTTAGCTTTAAGCGTTTGATCAAAACCCCGAGATCACACCCGGCCGGTGTCAAACGTCCGTATTGCCATAGCCTGCGAGAATGCTCACTGTCCTCACTTGTGCAAGTTCGGGGAAAATGTTAGCGATGCATGGTGACTCCGCCGCCAAAATTTTCCCCCGAACTCGCACAATTTAGCCTGTTGGCAGGCTAGAACTGCCACAGCTCGGCGTAATTCATAAAAGTTGAAAAGACGCAAACTGACTAGGTACTCTGACACTCTTTAACGTATTATATAAACACCAGCGAAATACCAGGTGTGCTTTCGCGCGAAAACATGACATCTTCACACGTGAAAAGGTCACCGTTGCAATGGCTACACGATCAGCTGCATGATAAATCGCACCTTTTGTATCAAAAACAAAAGAAATATATATTAATGTGAATTGGTTTGGTATCTAATTGGTGTTTATAAATTGAAAAGAACACGACATCGCCGCTTGGAGATACGAAATTTCTCTTCTCGTGTTGAAAAACATAATATTTTACCCGTTCGCTGCGCTTATTCGTGAAATATTCCTCAACAACCGAAGAGAAATTTCGTATCTCCACGCGGCCATGTAATATCCTCTGTATTATACTTTTATTGCACAAATTAACGTATTTACATACTATAAAATGCTTATTACTTATAGCTACATATAATACTACCAAAAAATTCAGTGGCCTGAATTTCATTCAGGCTAAAACTCAGTATCAAACTGCTAAAACCGGGTGATTAAAAGTTAAAGATAAGTTTATACAGACCTGTAGGCCATTCCCCCTTTTTTCCGTTTAGTGTCGAATGCGTTTCCTGATTAAGGGTCGGTCGGTCGGATGANAATTGAAAAGAACACGACATCGCCGCTTGGAGATACGAAATTTCTCTTCTCGTGTTGAAAAACATAATATTTTACCCGTTCGCTGCGCTTATTCGTGAAATATTCCTCAACAACCGAAGAGAAATTTCGTATCTCCACGCGGCCATGTAATATCCTCTGTATTATACTTTTATTGCACAAATTAACGTATTTACATACTATAAAATGCTTATTACTTATAGCTACATATAATACTACCAAAAAATTCAGTGGCCTGAATTTCATTCAGGCTAAAACTCAGTATCAAACTGCTAAAACCGGGTGATTAAAAGTTAAAGATAAGTTTATACAGACCTGTAGGCCATTCCCCCTTTTTTCCGTTTAGTGTCGAATGCGTTTCCTGATTAAGGGTCGGTCGGTCGGATGAAAAAAGAAACTTTAAAAAAGCGCAAGAAGTCTGGGAATTGGAGGCTACCCCAGCTCTCCCGGCCCCAGTCAACCGTCATCGCAGGCAGGAAACAACAAGACATAAAATCATAAAATGTGATGCCGGTAGATGTCATAGTAAAAGTAAACCATGGCAAAAAGGATACAATTCCGAAACTTCTGTGTTACCAAATGAGGTTACAATGGTCATTTTCAGATTAAAAGAATTAATTCCTCGCTAAGCAAAGCCGAAGGCCTCGTGAAGAGAGTTTATAGTCAGGTCGC